AAGCACTTGAGTTCTGCATTTGTTTATTATTACAAAAGTCTCTTCTTCAATGAAAAGTAGCAAAGTATTCACTTGCTACTGAAATTATACTCTGCATTACAGTGTGGGGCTGAAAACTTTTTCTGCCTGTTTCTTTTAAAAAAGAAAAAAAAAAAGGAAAGAAGCTGGGGGAATTCTTGTGCAGTGTCATCTTCGTCATCCTATTCACGTGACCATTAGAGAGAGAGGAAAGTTGTGGCAGAGGAGGGGAAGCGGAAGGTGATTCTCCCAGGGAGGATGGAATGAAAGGCAGTCAAGCACTTGAAAAATGTGATTTTGTCAAGAGGGCTGACTGGCACACAGTCGTAGCACAGTTGGATCCTCTTGGCTCACCTGCGAAATTCCTTATGTGAGGAGGAGGTAGGAAGTTACAAGGAGAGCTTTTTCATGTACAGCTGTGCTGCAAAAAGCGTAGTGTGTAGCAAGTTATCTGCATGTTTTACATAGCAGTTCTTAAATGTTAAAGAGTTTAGTTCAGAGGTGGATCAGACCTTGTTTGGAAAAGACTTAATTTCCTCTTTCCATTTCAGGATTATTCTTTGCAAATTCTTCTGGCTTGCTGTCTGGTCTCGTTTTAAATACAGTTCCACCACTTCCTTTGAGAGGCTAATCAAGGCTACCTAGCACTTAGTGCAAGGGAGTCCTCCCTAGTATTAAGCTCAAATTTTTATATCCTTCCTTTCATCCTGTGTATCATGGTTGCATTTTAGTGTTCCACCTCCAGTACTGTCCAAGTGTATGTGTACTTGAATGCATGCTGTGGAGACTTACAACCACCATATGAAGTGCAGGTTTCAGGGCTCTGTACCTTCCCAAGCTTGTCTGCCGTTCTTGGGTTGCTCTATAGGGTGGCTCAGAGCCACAATTATTGATTTAAATTAGAAAAAGAAGCCAAGTTTCATGTGCTGTGGCTCTGTCTCTCTTCTGAGCTGCAGCAGTGGTCATTTCAGAGCTGCTGGCACATGTTACTGTAACCTGCATCTGTGTCTGAATACTAGCGTTTCTGTGCATGTCCTTATTTTGCCCTTCTTTTTTTGCACTACATTCTCACTTAAAGTGTTGAGTGTTTATTTTTTGGAACTGATGAATGTCATATCATTTTCCTTTTTCATTGTAAGATGCTGAAAGCCAGGCTGACTTGAGCCTGCCTTTCATATTCAAAGTATGCCAGTGTTGTCAGACCAAAATATGTTGTTACAGTCACAATGGGAAAATAACTTCTAAGCACAGCTTTGTTCCTGTTCTCCTTGTATCTTGGCAGGCTAAACAGTGAGGTTGAGCATTTTCAGACTTTCAGCATAACATGTAAGATCTAATCAAGGCAAACTCTTCTGAAGGGAGAAGGCAACACAAATACTACCCCCCCCCCCCCATTATAGTTAGGAAACTTTTTAAGTAAAAGAGGCCTTGGTGAAGGGATTGTTTAACTTTAAAAGAAAGGTTGTGGATGTGGATGTGACTTGGCATCTTCTGCAGTTCAAGCCAAGTTGGGTGATAAATGTTTTCTCGAGGCAGAATGACATCCATATTGCAAAGTAAAAGAGAGAGATGAAGATTGTGTCTATCCTTTGTACTGCTAGGCTTTATCTTCCCGCTTATCTTGGGCTGTAGCTCTAGTAATCTTTTTCCTCTCCACCCTTGACTTGATGTAGTGAAACTTGCTTAACCTGCCAAAGGAACGAACCTGCTGGCTGTAATGTGGACAGGTTGTGACTCCTCTTGAGAGCTCTGGAACCTGCTGCTTTGGTTTCGGATTTTTCTTTTTTCCTTAATGATGGCATGCAGAGAGCTATCACAGCGGCTGTGATATTTGACCTGCACAGTAGAAGTCAAAGGTGCAGTCAGGGTGTCTTCCTGTTTACAGCTCAATAGCTCAGGCTGCTTCCTTTCAAATATGCAAAACTAAAACATGAAGGGATTACCACATTCCTTGCTGTGGGTACAGATTCTGCTCTTGCTTTTAGGGCATGGCAAAAGCACGCACGTTGCAGGAAGGAGAACTGCAAGCTGGGGGCAGCCGATGACTTTGATACCAGACATAGCAAAGCCCTGTCACTGTGGTGCTGAACCCACATTAGCAAGCCCTGCCTTACTAACATATGTTACGCTGCAAACACAGCTGGACTACTTTTGGGACTTGTAGGAGCCAGTATGTTTACATGCATTAGGTCATGGCAGGCAGAGGTGCCAGGTTGGACTGGCACTAACCTGGAGATCTCAACAGTTCTTCCTGTTGGATGTGCCATCACACCCCTCTCAAGTAGGAGAAGCTCCATCAAAACAGGCAGAGTTCAACAGGTGGACAAACGGACGGAGGAAAGAACTCAGCCCTGAGGAAGATGTTTTGCATGGGTGGCTACTAAACAGGAGTTCTGCATACGTGTTACAGGCAGAAAGGAGACTTCAAAAGAAAATAGGAACATAAAAGTCCCACGCTTAAAGTGTAGCAGGTTTTTCTGTTGTTTGTTTTCTGGATGAATGTGATCCAGCTTAACTGCTGTTGCTCTTTAGCTCCCTGAAAAGTAACTGGCCAAGCAGTGCTAGCTATGCATCAGCCAAGCTGCCAGAAGGTTAAGCATGCAGGCCTTGTGTGTGTGTCTGGGGTGGGGGACAGACAGGCACATGCAAAAGCCTCTGTCTCACTTTCAAGAGCTCATAGAAACTGGAAAGCAGTCTTCACCAAAAAGAAAAAAAAAAAAGACCAACAAACCACCTTCCAGGTTTTGCTTTGTCTCTGCAATTGAATACTACGTTTCGTTGTTCCCAGATGCTTTTCGAGTTTTATCTTCAACCACTGTGGACAGAAACCCTAAATAACTGATTTCTTCTCCCTTATTCTTGCATGAATACAGGCAACTGCTCCTCACACTGTTGATTTATCAGCTGCAGGAAGCTCTGGGATTGACTTAGCTAGCATGAGAAGTCAGATCAGTGCCATAAGGGGGGAAAAAAGGACCAAAAAAAAAGAACAAAGACAGTAGGCGGTACAGATGCCTTCCCTGCAGATTTTGTGAGACCAGGTAGCACTGGATTCATGCAGATAAATCAGTTAGCTTTGGTGCCTATGGTGGTGGGGCTACCAGAGGGCCGAGTCAGGGGAGTGCACTGCGCTATGGAGGCTGTGTCAGTGCTCCGACTTTTCCCTGGAGAGAGCCAAACCCTCGGAGCTTCAACCGTCCTTCTGCTCCCAGTCAGGCGATCGGCAGGGGAAGAGGGCAGACAAATTCAGCAGTGCTTCTGTGATGCTGTGCCCAACCTGCTGGGCACATCTGCACACAGAATGCTCTCTCCTCCTTGAACCTTCCACAGTATGACTGACAGACGTCACCAGTGTTCGTCCACCATTTGTGTGACCAGTGGGAGTTACTGGGGGGCTGGGGAAGCCACATTTTACTTCATGTGTACCTGGTCCTCTGAGCAGTCCCAGCCTTGCCAGGCATTGAAAGCAGGCAGTAGCTGAACAGCCATTTTAATCTTGCATTGGTTGTGGTATGTGTGGTGCTTTTGGCTTGAGGCTGTTCCCGCATAGCACCCTCAGAAGCCTGGCTGTAGTTTCAGATGGTAATTTAGATGCCTTTTTTTTTTTTAAAAAGTTCAGAGATTGTGAAAGGAAATGTTAAAAAAAGCATTGTGTGAGGAGACAGTCCTCCCAGCAGCTCCACTGGAGTCTGCCCCATGGGTCAGTTTGGTCTGGTCTGTTATCTTGAAGCATCATGCCCCTGGAATCCAAAGCTAAAATGGATTTTATGTCATAACACCCAAGCAGTTATGAGGACATACAAGACTCATCTAGGTTTACAACATTCTCTCATGTTTGAACATGATAGCATGCAGTCAAGTTAAATGGTATGGTCCTGAGCCGAGTTGGGGGTTTGACTTCTGAAGGATGTGCCCAAATGCCATTAACATTGTCTCCCTTGTGCTGCTTTGAAGTCAGTCGTATGGACAAAGGGCAGCTCACTCCTGCACTCCCACTTCTACCTATCGGAAGCAAAAATTTCCATTGTATGTAGGAACCTAAGTTTGATTTTTTTCCAAAAGCACTGTAAATTTGAAGTGAGGCTAAAGGCCCTACATTTTTTTAAAAAAAGAAAATTTACTATTTGAGCTTTTAGTATTCAGAAAAAGAAGCCCGGGGGCAATACCCTGGAACTAGATGACAGTGTCTTCCTCAGGTTGCAGATACGGAAAACCAAGAGGCAAGCGGGTCAGGTATACAGATATTCATGAGATTGCTTCCTGAGCCATTTTGTCCCTCTCCACTTTCCAGTATCTTTGTGATGAGAAATGGTTGTTTTCCTGGGGAAGCAGGTTTGTGAACACGCTTTGGCAATATGGAGTTTTGCAAGCCAAACTTGCTGCAAGCTTAACAGTGTGACCAGATATATCTTGACTTCAAAGTTGCAGTTGAAATTCGATATTGGGGTGCACCAGTGTGTTAAGGATGAGAAGGAAACAAATGTATATAGGAAATGTTACTCTGACTTTGGCATATTTGATCCATTTGGGGTACTGTCTGAAGCTGTAAAAGGAGAGCCAGCTGAAGATGGGGTGCTTTTTTTGCACTGAGAGAAGTGGATGCCAAGCTGCAGTCTTTTAACTACCAGACTGCCACAAGACTAGAAGGCTGCGCCTGCAGATTACTGTGCGGCAGGGCCTCTTGGATGGTGGAGGATACTCATGGGGCCAGGCAGTCGCGGGGCAAGTGCTGTGCTGTGGGTTGGGGCATGGGAAAAAGCTGCTGGGCTCCCTGCTGCAGCCCTGCGTGGTCCTGGGTGCTGCAAAGGGCCCATGCTGGATTGTGCCCCAGCTATCTTTCCAAAGTGCAGTCTGGTTTATGGGATCTCTGCTGGTATTCTTTAAAGGCAAACCTTAGAAGTGATGGTGGCATTAAAATTATTTACGTGGACTTTCCACACTGATTGGCCTGTTGACAATGTCTTCTTCCTCCTCCTGCTCAGGCACATGAAGATTCATGAGAAGGATCCAAACAGCACAGCAAGCACAACTCCCCCATCGCCGCTGAAGCGCAGGCGATTATCTTCGAAACGGAAGTTCAGTCATGATGCTGAGATGGACAGAGAGGAGAGGACACCTGCAAAAAAGGTTCTTTATGGGGCATGAAGCAAAAGACATTCCTGGCTACCTCCCTAAACTGTCAGCTGTGGAGTTCATATAATCAGCATAGAAATATTAAAACGTGGTCTTGTTACAGCCCTGTTTTAAGATGCCATGCTTATCCTGTGTAGCCAACGCTGTTGTCTGAGATTGAAAATTAATTTCTAATTTTATACGTTGGAAGAATTCAATTTTTAAAATTCCTTATTGTTTAAATTTTTGGGTTTGCTGATGATTTATATTAGATAATTGATGTTGGATGATAAGAGGATGAACTATTCTTTTGCTACTGCAGCTTTTCTTCTAGGTTTTTTTTCTCCCGTTTAATTCACAGTCTTGCAGGATAGTAATTTGAACTTTACAAAAACAGCGTTTACTTCAAAAGCAGCAACAGCTTAAGTCTGGTTTTGTTCTGATCCAGAGGGGGAAAAAAAAAATCTCTAGTACAATTCCGTTTCACAGTAGCATAATCCTGCATTATTGGAGTTGCAAGAGCAACCAGAAAAATACTTATTTGAAGGCTAGACATCTCCGTTAGGGTTTTGTTTATGAAATATTTTAGTGCAATTCAGTCATTTATACAAAATGTATGGTGGCTGCCAAACTTAACTCGACCCTTTCCACTTACTATCTCTAAATGACAAGCTAGTAGCAGTTCCCTTTAGCTCAGTATCCCTTGTTCTGTGCATGCTTTTCTCCCTGTAATCAGAAGAGGGCTATAGAAAACATGCAGAAGTTCATTGCTTTTCCCTGGACCACTTGAGTTAGCAGTTGGCAGTATCTCAGTGGCATAAATAATTTAGGCTGACAGCTTGCCTGGCTTTCTGAAGGGGGAGGAATGCTAGTTCAGTGGTATATAAACATATGGGTTTATAAGTTGTTCAAATCGCAGTCTCTCATTAGAACTGATGCATCCATGACTTAGCTGCACACTTTTTCTCCTACTGAGCCTCCTTCTCTGTTGTGCACGTTCTCACGCACACGCAGAGGCTCTGTCGCTTATCCTCTCTCCGTTGCTGAAATGAGTCATTTCTGGTCTCCCTGCAGCAAAGTTACGGGTGAAGACTGCTAATTCGTTTTTAAGAAAAGGACTTTGAATGGATTGCATGTTTGGTTTGTTGCTTAAAATTTGGTCTAGCGAGGTTTTTTTCCCTCTCTCTGAAGGTTGTCGAGGATGGTCACTCCGGTGAAGGGGATAAAAAGGCTGAGGAGGAAGTTTATCATTGTCCAGTGTGTTTCAAAGATTTTTATTGCAAGTATGGGCTGGAGTCCCACATGGAAACACATCCAGACAATTCACTGAGGTAAGAAATAGCCCCAAGAGTGTTTCTGGTCACCAGATGGCCTGAGGGAGCCTGCTGGGGAGGGGCAGGAGCAGCCCCTGCACTGTTATCTGCCCCTGCTTTGTGATTTTTTTAACAGATTTTTAAATGTTTCTGCCTCATCTTGCATTACCAGGGTGCTGTGTGGCTTAATTTTATTATTTTTTGCAAATACAGGAAATCTTGCTAGTTAATAGCTGGGAATGTTTTTAGAAGAAATTAAAGCACCCCTTCCTCCCCTCCAAACCCATCACTGTTGTTACATACAACAGTACAATGCCAACGGTGCAGAATTTTAACAAGTTAAACTAAAGATGCTTAAAACATGAAGCAAAACTTGATAAAAGTATTCAGGTACCAGCCTATGAGATTATTCTGCCTGGGGAGAAGGCGGCGGCTGGATATAAAGGTTTTGTTGTCTGTTGTAGGAGCGAGTGAAGATGGATGAGTTTCTGGTTCCAGACTTACAATAAAATGTGCTATGCTTTTCTGCGTGTTGAGGTTAGGGAATGATTTGGATTTTGGCTTAAATCAGCTTCTCTTAACAAGGAAACATTAGTTATTAATTGTTTGGGAAGGTGCTTGGGTATTGTGTTTTTTGGTTCAAGTAATTGCCCCTGATAATGTAGAAAAGCACCTATTTTAGAAAGGGAGATTGTCCATTTGCAGAAGCTTGTCAGTGTTTTAAGCTTATTTTGGGACATTGGGCTCTGATGATCTTTTCAGATGTGTGCAGAATTCAGCATCTTGAAGTACCAGCACTCTCCCTTGAATATAGTTTCTTAATAGAATGGCATGGAGCAGAGCCATCCCATTCTATTAAGCGGGATTAATTCTATTAACTTTTATTTTTTTTTTTTAAATTAGAAAACCTTTGTAAATACGTGTAAAAAACATTTTTAAAGGCATTGTAAGTGCTGTAATTATTAGGGAAAGGAGTTAGAAAGCTCTTTCTTAAACTCAGTCCAGAAAATAGTATTTAATTGAACGGATTTTGCTGTTTCTGAAGTAAATGAAGTAAATTTTCATTATAGAGCAAAACTGAAACAGTTGTTCTCTGCTTAAGAGCTCTGCAGCCCCACAAAAGGGAGTCAGAGATAATTTTGCCATACGCTTTGCACTTCAGAGAAAGTGGCTGTCATATTAGGCTTATCCTGGCATTAGCCTCATTTTGAAGCTTCTGTGAAAGATGTGAGCTCTTTGCAAAGTTATATGCCATGGACCTGAGTGGAGAGGTGGATTCTCTTTCTTTGATGGATAAAATGTAAAAGAGCAGATACCCTTCTAGCTTGGCAGCTTTGCAGTCTGCTGTGGTGAGGCAGAAAGAGACACTGGCTGTGCAAACATGCTGTTCCTCTTCATGCAACTCTTGCTCTAGGATTAGGAGACTTGCTTTTGGATAATACTCTTCTGAAATGGATTTTGCTACCCTTGATTGTGTTGAGCAACAAAGACTAAAATGTGTCCCTAAATCAAAGCCACGATTGTCAAGCTCTGTGGGCATGAGTTAAGGGTGGTGTTGGGATGCTGGTCTTTATGGACTTGTTTAAACGATGGTATGGGGTTTTTTGTCAAATACATGCTTTAGCAATTTAAGACATGTCAGCGGAGATAGAATAGGACAAGGAAGCTTGGTTCTCCCTGGTCGACTAACATATTCAAATGCAACTTGCCCTGCCTATCTGGTTTAAAACACACCCTTTGTCTTAGTCTAGACAAGTCAAATGCAACTGTTTGGCCCAACCTAGCAGAAAATCCTCTGGTAAGCAGGGGAGTCTGGGCTGCTGTTAAGGTGACTCTTTCATCCCCCCAAAAATGGGTTAAGATCCTTGGCAGGCAGGGGCTGTAGTCCCCCAGTTCCCAGGGTTCTGCAAGACTGTAGGATTCAACAAGGTACGCTGAATGTGGCATGCCATTCACAGTTCTGAGTTCATGTGACTAAAATGATTCCTCTTGGTGAGGCTTAGGGGTGTTTTTTGAGCGAAAGAGATGAAGAAAATAAAATATTTTGCTAGAATGTGAGAGCAGGAGGCATGTGTGTATGAGTGTGCTTGTGGTGGGGGAGCAAACTGCAGAATATTAGAAGGTGTTCCTCAAATCCTGGTGTTCCCTTATTGTAGAAGGCAAGGTGGAAGAGCTCACCTTAAAGTTCAAACAAACAAAAAATGTGTAGCAGCTGTGTTTTGAGCAAAGGGCAGGGAGCAGTCTCTTTTTATTGCCAATATTGTAAAAGTAGAGTCACTTGATCAGGACTTCGGTGAGGCAGGTATCAGATGTTCTGCAGCCCAGAGCCAGATGCTCTGGCTCTGGCAGTCCGTTTGGGGCTACTGCTGTAGGTAGCCCAGCACAGACTGTTTTGTCACGACCAAAAATAAGCGATGCTCAATCTGCCTAGCCATGCCGTTCTTTGTAAACCACAGGGCAAACCTCCGACTCCTTTTTGCTCCCCCGGTAGTTAGTGTAAAAACGATGGCAGACATTGGCTCTGGAGCCGTGCACCATCCTGCACCGCCTTGATAGCGGTACAGCCTCCCTTCAGGGATGCACCCCAGCAGTAGCAAAGTGCTGGGGTGGGCAGGAGCTTCTGCCTGGCTTCCTTGTGGTCCTTTAATCCTGCCATTGTAGTGCTGCTGTGTAAATACAGCCTCTTGCCCCAGAACTGTCTGAGTCTGTCTGTCCTGGCCCCCCTCAGCGAAGTAGCAGAAAAGGTAAGGCTGGCTGGCAGCGCCCGGATGAGTGTGTGAGCAGCTAATTTACAGGGTGGGCCATTACCCTTCCAGATACTGTCAAATGAACAACTTCAAATCACAGGGTTAGCTGTTCAAAGCCAGATGAAAAGACACCCCGCATTGTCTTCCCCAGTACTGCTTTTTCATGTAAAGCCGCGGGCCGGGAGCACCTCATTGTTTACTTGCAGCAGAATAAACAATACATAATCCACTGATTGTGTAGAGAGGCTCCCACTTGGGAGAGTATCTCTTGATTATGTAAAATCCTAAATCGTGCATCTTTGTCTCCTAATTATGACAAGAACTACCCTGCTCTTGGGAGCAATAATAGGGCCCTTTGTCCAGCTGACAATGGGCTGTGGCACTGCATCTCCTTCATGGCATTAGCCCCCCTGGTCAGTCCCTGTCCCTTTGAAGCTCTGGGACCTGCACCCTAATTAGTGCCATGAGCTGGTCCCAGTGAGGTTGTCTGCAGCCCCATTAGCAGTGGGAAGTGGCCCGGGGGTGCCTTCTGACCCCCTTTGCCTCTCTACCTGGATTATTTAAAGAAGACGTCTGTTTCTCTGCAGCTGGGGCCTCAGGACACCGTCTATTTTGGTGAGTTTGTATCTGAGTGTTGGTATAATTAGCAGAGCTCTGAAAGGCTGTGCAGCCAATAGGGAAAATGAGAAACATCACAGACGGGGTAACTACTCTGGAAACTTTTGTGGCTGAGGGTTGCTGTCAAACGTGGTAATGTGCTTGTAAAGGTTGCCTGACAGACAGCTCTGAGCAACATCAGCAGTGCAAGCAAGGGAGGCATGAGGATTTCCTGGGGAGAAACCTCTCAAGGCACTATGTGAGGTTTCTCCTCTTTCCTTTGGCAAGTACAATGGAAAGGTTTAAAGTAAAACGTGAGGCTTCTTAAAAAGTACATGCGCTATAAAATTTCTCTGTTGGGTTTCGCTGTAACCAGAGCATACCCTTTATATTTCCTCTTCTCCTCCAGGAGGCTTCTTACAGTACCCACTGTAGGAATAGCTGAAGGTATTTTTAATTTTGACTTCCTCATAGCAGCAAGGAGACGCTTATGCTGCCTCTCATGCCTGTGTATCTTCCTGGGGAGAGGAGGAGGGAGGTGGTGACAGCATTGCAGCTACCTCCTTCCTTAGAGATGTGTTTCAACATCAGTTCTTAGCCAGGATAATTGCGCAGGTTGAACATGGTAAAAGCTTGGATCATAACGAGTGTTATGGGGACTTTCTGATGACATTTGGTTCAGTGTGGCATTGCCTTCAGTTACAGGATTTGATTTAACTTTTTATAGGAGACAAGGAATAAATGGACATTGCAGAGTGTGAAAGACACTGTCTACCTCAGTCACTGAGCTGACCTGGTGACCAGAACCAGTAGATGCCTGTTGCCGTGAATGGATTCAGGGTAGATGAAGTTTTTTGACCTTTTACAGAGCATGTCCGAACAGTGATATGATGTATGAAGCTTTGTAACCTGCCAAATCCCAGGCATATTTTCACAAGGACAGCAAAAGCAGTTCTCTTGCCCCAGAGTGATGTGCTTCTGTAGAACTTCCAAACAAAGAAAACCAAAAGCCATTCACAGTCCACCTTGTTCTTCAAAACCGCCTACCCAAGTTTTGCTGAAACTTGTAAAGACAAATTGGCTAGAGGTGGAGTGCCACCATGAAAGGCTGTTGTTTTGAGCAGTTAGATCAGTAACAGGCATAGCAACAGAAGATCTCAGGTCCTGGAATGGAAAGTGTCAGGACACTGTGACCATTGGTGTCTGTTGTCATCTGCCTCCAGTTTTGCCAGGGTAACCACTGTGAGCGCTTGTTTCTGAAAACACACCCAGCTTGAAAGTGCTATAGTTGTGTCTTGGTGTTAACTGGCTTCACGCAGGAGTGGAAAATTTAAATGCACTAGGAATGGTCTGCTGGACTCGGTGGGTAAATTGTTTCACAAGATGTCACGTGCACTTGCGATTCAGTCAAGCTGGTCACCAGGTTTCCCCCTTTGCCAGCATATCCCCGTTCTTCAGTTCATGGTGCCAGGTGATGGGATGCTGCAAGGCACCTGGACCTACATCCCAAACTTAAATCATTTTAGCCGATGCACATGAGGATTTAAGTCAAGACGAAAGGAAGTGATTCCTGTTTTTGCCAATGCCTAATTAAGCAACTTTAGGAATTCACTTTCTAGCTTTTCTCTCCTTATATAGTAGGGAGTAATCCTACTAACTTCACTTTTGTGAAGC